TTTAAATGGCCAAATGTCACTCGAAGATATGATCTAAGGAAAGCAACAGATTTAGGAAAGTGAGAACTCCCTTATTTTTTTACCTTGAGGCAGTTTAATATATCAGATTGGGTTCCAACCTCCTACCCTTCAAAGCTGAACGCACAGCTGTCTAGGAGGAACATTCTCGGTGACAATACGGAGGGAGTGAAGTTCAGCGGAAAGACGTCTAGCATTGGAAAGGTTTTCTTCTCTTAAGCACTTAATCATGAACAAAAGCAGGTAGCTCTCTGTGAAGGAAAGGCATAAGTTGATCATGCATTCTAGGAACAAGTGGAAAATGTGGTCTCTTCTTCATCTTAAACCTTTCAGTCATCTGCATTTATTTGATGATGAGGTCCCTTGAGACATATTTTATTTCTTCCACCACACCATTTTGATTGTTGAGTTGGCACCGCAAGGCTGAAGTTGGGGTAGCCAGTAACGAAAGTGAGGTGAGCAAGGTACCATGTTATTGTCGTGAGGGTCGACTTAGCAGTTTTAGGAGGGAAGGGGTAATGGGAAACGAAGCAGCTAAGAAAGATATTAATTACGCCTTAGTCGTTCAAACTGGGCTGACACCTCTAACCTTATTTATGGGTGCATATCGAGGGAAAAGGAAGGCATCAGTCCTGCCCCATGGTGCTCGTCTACATGGAAACACTTGTTTTAGTGCGTGTCCACCTAAAACGTGAGAAGTAGCTTTGATCTGGAATTGCTTCATTTTGTTACCTAGTAGGGAGGGACTGGCGATGATATTACGTGTTTACACCCCTCTTATGCTCGTTTTTTATTACAGAGTGATTTCTTGTGGCTCATTTTACGTCTTGTAATGAGGCGCTGCAGGCAACCATGAGCCCTTCTGTCATATCCTCAGTGTCGATTAAAAGCTCAGGCTCCCATTTCACCCTGACGTGTCGAATTTGCCCGAATTCGCTTAATTTGGCTGCGTTGTCCTCACCACATACACATGGGGAACGTACTCCCTTGTACTAGCTTGTTTTTTAGCAGGTTTGGCGTTAATGGGGCGTCGTGGTCTAGGCATACGTTCTGCGTCCTTGATATTTGTTTGCAGAAGTGAACGACTGCGGCATTGCCTTAGCACTGGATCATCAGGGCATAATTCGAATCATTGACTCGGTGTAACTGAACTACCGAGTGCCTCATCACCGTGTCTTGTGGAGCGATTCCTTGCTGCACCGTCTTCTAGATCTCCTGAAGGGTATGAGCAGACAGTCACTAGCTCGAATAGTACCTCTTCGTTAAAAAGACATTTCTTTTAGCACTGTAGGCTATCACATGGATTCCCTGTCCGGACTGATCCACGTACGACAAGAATATTGTCCAATAAAATTGGTAAAAGAGCACCTGGCGTGATTCATATCTCCCATTTTCCTGGCGATGTTAATAGATTTATATCATTTATAAGTGATTGTAATATCCCGATGAATTGTTTAGCTCTTCTGTTTGGTTATAAATGTATTTAAGGCTGCGCTATTGTACTTCCACTGCGGTGGTCTGGCCTCCTGTCCATGCCAGTAGCTTTCATCCCTAGTATTTTGCCTTCTTTCGACTTCAAAGAGGACTCGGAAAGTCATATTCGTGGCAGGAGAATGCAAACCTGACCAAATGCGGAGAACGAAATAATTGGTGACTGTTCCCAACAGAAGGACTGAAAAAGACGTCTACCTTTGGTGATAACTTCAGCTTTATAGTCTGCAGAAAAGCTATTAATAACATAATCGCCGATAGCCGAGAACCGTCTGGAAAAGCTTTATTACGGAGTTGTCTACCGAACCCGAATGGGGATGTCAATGTAGTGAACACACGATGCCTCTTTCACCTCGCTAATAGTAGGATGGAACCCAGACAGACATGACTGGGCAGCTTTGAAGTGAGATCATCGTGGCAAGAAGAAATACGACTGAAACTTATCCCCACAAAACTGTTTTGAAATCCTTGATCTATTAAATGACACCGCATAGGGCCTGTGCTCTTGTGACTAGCGATGGACATACAAAATGGTCAGCGCATTCCCGATTCCCCTAATGCAGTTCACAAACAGGACAAAACTCTAAATCCACTGAAATTGTCAATAGGGATCAATGACGTTGCGGTCTTGTGTCTTTGACGACTAGCATGGTTGGGTGGATGGTTTGTAGGTCTTATTCTCACAGCGCCTACTACGTTTCGACGGCCAAGGCGGGAGATTGATCAAATGGAGCGACAAAGATGGCACTCAAAATAGAGTGGGCTTTGCAAAACTTTGATTACTTGTTTAACTATTTGATTAAGTTACATGGGTAGTTAAGACTTCGCCATTGTACTTTCGCTCGAAGGCATTTGAATTCAGAAATGACTTAAGGTGCTACTTAGTATTATTTACTTACCTTTATAATACTTTATAAGATTTTATACAAAATCATTTTTTCAAAAACAACAAAATAGATATACCTATGAAAGTCCCTTCTTAAAAAAGTAAATAATGAGGAGACGCTTTAATTTGGAGGCTTCTTTGTTGTGCAGCTAAACCAGTAAATTACACAAATGGCTGTACTAATTCCGGCCCAACTTTTTGCCTACTTTTTCGCTAAAATAATCCCCCAAAATATTTTAAGTCTGGATAAACCTCGTTGCAAAAATTTCTATAAGACATTTGAGCCATTTATTAAGTCTTGGACAAAAATAAGGTTGAAAAGTCACAAGCCGCTGTTATTAAAAAAAAATTGTCGGTCCCCTCAAATAATTTAATGAATGTTTTCGTCCATAAAAAATATTTAAAATCCGTGATTTTTCTTTTCAAAAGGCTTTTTTGTATTATCCTGGGCGCTTTTTCAGATTGATGAACAACTAACAGCCCTGCAAGTGTGTGCATGTGTACGGAGGCGCATGAGGTGACACGAGTGCGGGCGCCTTTACAGTCCCAAGGGGGTTCGACGTACACGGGTGTGCGTCCGTGTCTGTGGACACGAGTCTCTGGGGTCTTGGGGTGCTGACACCTCTAAGCTACTGGTAGGAGGGCTCCAACTGGCAAAAAATTTATGACTTCTTAAATGAATCTCAAGGAGAGGAGTGTAGTTACACATATAAAACGCATCACCGTGCAATACCGGCCAAACTGGAGAGATAAAAAGCACAGGGGCCAGATGTAAATGCTTCAAGAGCCTTTTTGGGACGATAAACAAAAAGTGGAAAACTAAATTTCTAGATGGGAACATTTACACCCTCGCGACTGACCTACTTTCCTTAAATTGTAAACAAAAAATTTAGTGGGCGGAGAATCACTCGAAATAAACAAGGTTCTCTTTGTTAATTCCCTTCCTTCAAAGAAGCAGCTAATTAACTTTGAGGTCATGGTAACTCTCCCCTTTCCTGAGGCGTCTCCATACAGAGGTGCTTGAATTGTTCGCGAGAAGTTCAGTAAGGCAATGACCTCTCCTAGCCCCTGCTCCAGGTCAAATTACTCTTTTCTGTGCACTCCTTTCTTAGTACGCCTGATATCCATTGGCTTAATTTACCATTCTGTTTTGAACGTCCCAGCTATTGCTCATCCGGCTTCCCCCTTCTCATCCTCTTCTTCCTTCTGTGTTCAGGCGCTGAAATGTAGATTTTGTATTTCCGAGGTATTCACAAAAGCCTCCTCTTCGCCTTTCTTTTTACGCTGCTAGTGAATGTTATCTTTTGACCCTGAATGCTTTGTTTGTGTTTTTTTGGTGTTTACGGTCAAAAAACGTTTTTTACAAGAATCCCTTTACATTATTTCTATCTTTGGGCACAAAACGCTGTTAAAAATCACTTGTTTACTAGCAGACTTTTTAGTATTACCACAGGGACAATGGATTCACTTAAAGGACACAGTTTTAGACGAAAATACACGAATGTAGGCTGAATTTATGAGGTGTAGATCAATGTCCATTGAGGGAAATAGTAAATTGACAAAATTACGGTCGCGAAGTGGATTGTCCAAAACAATCTCATATTTTATGGTCATAAAATATCTCCCAAAATGGTGAGACAGGAGGTTATTAAAAGGACATTTGGAACTTTGGATCTTGATAGGCAACCCATCTTGTTATTTGTTTTGGGATTAATTATTAGTTAAAAGTATTTATTAGATCTTTCGTGTATAAGTACAAGGTTCCCCAATTCTGAATCCTTAATTCAAAAAACCCACTAACTTCCTAATTATTTACACTTATCAAATATAGCCTCGAATTTTGTTTTAACGTATTAAATTAATACATATGTGGAGCGGGACTCGTCGGTCTCCGCTTCCCTATTCCTAGCGTTCCTAGACAAGCCCGGTTGATTCGCTTTGGTTATCTTTATTAAAGGTGACAAGATGGATAGGGGAAATTTAATGTTCAAGAAGGAGGGGAGCCGCAGTCACTAGGTAAGGGAGAGGACGATCCGGTCAAGAGATTCGAATTTTCTGATTGCCTCCTCCCCGAAAGGTACATTAAAACAACATAAGTATTACACATACTCTTCCAGTAGAGTAAAAATTGCCAAATATTTGGATTGCAAAATGCTTTTCGGATCGGCAAACCCCATGATCCGCATTTAATCATAAATCTTAAGGTGTCTTCCACATATTATGTACGATTTATCAATGAAAATGTTTTTCCCTTTTGAATTGAATGTGTGAGCTCTTTAAAAGTTCGTATACATTTTATTACTAGCGCAGAGTCCACCAGCATTCTGCTAAAGTTAAATTACACATTCTTTGTTAGCAAGCGAATTGGTTTTAATTAGCTCGGACTCTTTTTGAAGTGGGCTTTATGGTTGAGGGGAATACCGAAGGATGTCTGCCCACGTTCATTTTTTTCCACAAAATCTTGCTCGTGAACTAGTTGGTTAAGCTAGAAAGTCCCAATACAGAACGCATTACACGATGTCCCAAGTCTTTCCCGAAGTGGTGATGAGCCAAAATGCATCTCTTATCACCCTACAGAGGAAATGGAAGGCCATTGGAATGGCCCGAAAGCTACGCCACATAGCGCAAGTACACTCTTCAGAGACACTGCTGCTCACAATCATTGTCCGACCCAAGGGAGCTGTGAAGCCGGTAGATCAGCACTGACAAGCGGAAATACAATTCGTGGAGAGAGAAAGCTCTGAGTAGATAAGTGAATGATTCAAATAAAAAAGCATCAACTGCACTGAATTAAGTTAAATAGTCTATCACGCTTTGCTCTTTGCATTGCCATGTTTTAATCATCTTGAAGTAACTATGTAGCGGATTATTTTAAACTAATTAAATATGTTGCCTAAAAAACTGGATTTGAAAACGAATTTGTAATTTGCGAACCTACGGCGATGTTTAAAAGTGCGAACAGATGGAACATTAAGGAGTAAAAATACGCATATTTTGGAATCGCAAACAAAGCTTGCTAGCAAATATCTCTGGTCTAATTTAGTCATCTAAAACTCATTTCTGGTAGTAATCTCACTGCCCCTTCAAAGCTTTAAAAGACAAAGTTCAGTGTTACAAAGTGTGTTTTGTGTTGTGCATTCAACAATGCGGGTTCTTCAAGCGCCGCGATTTGTGCCTTTCCTCCGACGGCATGATCAAACGTGAAGTACGGCCTCATTTTTTTAACAAGAGTCATTCTTCATTTATTTACTAAAATGGTTTTATTTTCATGCCCGTTTAAATGATTTTTGTCGCCTCTTGGCGGCATGCTGTTTTGGTGGGTCTCAAAATGAACTTCCTTTTACTTTGATAGGACATACTATGATTATAAGACAGATGCGGCAAGCTACATAAGTAATTTTAACTGTTCTTAAGTGATGCAACCCCAGTCAAAGCAAAAGTGAGTTAGAATTATTTTAAATATGCACCAAGTGGATTCAAGCGTAAGCGAGTCCTCCGTAAGTACAGCAATGGGGTTCAAGCAAGTGAACAGATTCTAAAAATCTACCAATAGAAATCGAGCATAAGGAAATAGTTTAATGATGCACCAAAAAGATTCAGAAATAATAAAGTATTCGAAAATGCACTAATATAATCAAGGTCCAAAGAATGTGAATTTTTTTCCTAAATCCAAAACGTCTTGTTTATTTATAACTTTACGACTTGCCAACATTGCTGAAAGTACCCGACGGAAGACTAATCTCATATCACATTGCTCGATCTACTAGAGATATAAAATTTTCGCCAAATTCCGTGAATGAAGACCTTTTCATGTGTAAAGCATCTGCCTTTGGGTGATTCATCATCTGACTCACGTATATTCCAGACCATTCCTAAGTGGTACACTCTACTAGCGCACAACTCACCAGTCCTGGAATGCCACACAACACATATCACGAGGCTTGTGGCTTTGGAACCGTGTCATGAGTGGTTTACAATAACAAACGAGCCTTAATCATCGCCTGCATAGTCGACCGACCGAAAATTTACGAGGGCACAAATAAGAGTAATTTACTGGCGGCCTGACTCTTTTCCATCGGTGTATAAGGCACGCATTGTACAAGTCATTTCATCAGGCCTTACTGAAAACCAAATGAGCTTTTTGCCCCTTTAGTGTGGTCGGTATTAAGCAGTATGGTAGTAAAATCCGTTCAATGACTTCTTTATCTTCATCTGAGGCAATTCTTTGCTACAAGGAAAAGATCACCTTATATTATTGTCTTTAATTATTCAGTAATCTGTTTATTCCCATCCCACTGAAAGAAGAAAAATGCGGAGCCCTGAGTTGAGTGACGGTGATTTCAGTATGTATGACAAGTAAGGGGTTTATGCGTGCCAGCTTGACTCCTGTTTCGAGCCGTCTTAATTTGCCGTCTGGAGCTATGGTATGTGTTTACTTGTAACTGACCGACTGGCTGGCGGCGAAGGCCAAGACCACTGAGCGATTACAGTTTTGTCAGTTTATAGCCCTCGGATGACTTTGACGCTAATAGTAATTATAAGCACAACTAAGAGCTATCTGCGGATGATATCGTCCAATCAGGAGGAAGGGTTCGAGATCGCCGCGTTTGAGGGTGTTTAAATTCAGCCATGCAAATCAAAATCCCCGGAGAATTGCGGCAGGGACATTTTCTGGGGGTTTAGATGAAATCCTTAGCAAAAATATTGCTTAACTCCGACGATCGAGTAGATTGGATCAACCTCGTAAATTGAGAAGAGCCATCAAACTCCTAGGAGGCATGGGTGGAACAGGAGTAGGAGGAGCTAAGTCTAAGTCCTCTATAAACCTTTATTCATTTGTACAATTCTGCACTAGCACCATGCAAGAAGTCCATCCCCAACCAGTCGTCCCGTGATTCAGGTGCCTGAAACCGGAAGCTGGCGGCATAAACAACGGATACGACAAAAAATTCTCCATTTTACCTTACAAGTATAAATGAGGCAAAGGAAAACCATATTTGTTATTCATAAAAACTAAAGCAAGCGCTTTTGTGTTTAGATTCAAGAAGCCTTTCGTCTTTAAATGGTGTAGAGTCTTTTTTGCACACTTTAATTTGGAGGGGTAGTGATGACCTTTGCCCAAAAGCCTTCATACTCCTGGGTCTTCCATTTGGGGTAGCAAGTAATTAGGAGGAGGCATTCACCCTCCGCATCACGGGTCTTCATTGCCTGTCAGTAGGAGTGATTTGGGGTAGGACGGGGGCGTATCTAATTACGGGCTGACCGGTGTAGACACGAGGTAGTCACATTCTCGCATGTCCGTCGTGTATGATGGACTTTAAGTGTTCTAATAGGTCAAAGTCAATCAGTGCATGATATGGGCCAATCAGGACATCCGAACGAGAACTCGACGCTCCACAATTTTCGGCTAATAGGCACGAGGAAACTTTTTAGAAAATTGAAATGGATGCATATTCAGATAGGTAAAGAAATTTACAACAATTTTTTGGAACAAAAAC